CCATTGCCACCCCAGCTCGTCATCCCCAGCCAGTGACACCTCCATTCCAGTAGCAGGGGGAAGGGCAGGCCACCACCACCAGCATCTGGGCTTGTTTCTTCTCCAAAGCCAGGAGAAATAAAGCTTTCTCAGTTCCAAATGAGGGACTAAATGAATAAAATTTTCCTTTTTGTTCCCCTCTAAGCTAAAAGGGCAAGAGCAAAGAGGGGACAACCACACTGCTGGAGAGGTGTCCATCCCTGGCGAGAGACGCCCACCACAGTGTGGATGTGCTCCTCACCCACCTTTCTTAACAGCGTGCACTTGTCCAAGCTGGCTGCAGCTGTGCGCAGAGATGCTAAGAGCTGGCAGAGGCATTTTAGGGGAACCCAGCAGGGTTGTGGTGCTGGCTGGGGAGTAGTTGAAGAGCGCTGTGCCAAAAGTCTGCCTCCGCCCCTCTCGACGGTTGCTGTCAATGGCGGCTTGGAGCTCCCCGGGAGAGCTGAGCGCCCGCTTCTCACATTCGTAGGGATACAGGTACTTCATGTACCTGCATGGGGAGAGAGACAGGATGAGATCCAGCATCACGTGCCTCCCAGCCAGCCACGCGCTGAGCAGGGACCAGGGTGGGGGTGGTAGCTGGATAGAGGCAGAGCCCGCGATCCCATTTGGGGGCAGCCTGTGCCAGACGCTGCTGGGTGCCCTGGGATATCGAAGCCAGTGGGTGTCCCGTGGTGTGTGCCCCCCACCCACCCCCGTCGGGTGCTCACTGCGTGCGCAGGGTGAAGGCAGCGCTGGTGATGGAGGTAGGTAGGTTGAGGCCCTTGGTGATCTCCCGCCAGATCTTCTTGTTGATAACTTCGACCAGGCCACCCTTGTCCGTCACCAGTCGGTACAGCGTGTAGAGGTCCAGCACTTGCTTGGCCATGATGGGGATCCGGTTCACAGGTGTTCCTTCCAGCCACACACGGAGAGAGAAGAGGGTGTGGGGTGAGCCCATAGGGCCCCTCACTCCATGGGGACATGGGCCCCACCTTGTCTCCACTGCCCCTGCCCGTGGCTGCCCCACAAGGGGAGATGTGTGTCTCCGTGCCTGGGTGAGCACCCACAGGCACAGGGCTGCAGGCAGGACCCCAAGGTGCCTGGGAAAGCAGCACCATGCTCACGACCAGGGCAGATTCTGGCATGCTGGCACACAGTCCTCATCAATGGAACTGTCGGTGGGTCCAGGCACACTCTCAGCTGGGATGTGGGCGCACAGTGGCACGGGCAAAGTGTCTCTTTCAGAGTCCCTTAGAGAGGTTGTTCCTCCACAACTCTTAGAGTTCCCTATAGACCATCTCCCTCCTAAATCTCTCAGAGCATCCTAGAAGGACTCTCTCTATAGCCCTCTTCCAGATGCCCATAAAAGAGACCCCATCTAAACTTTACAAAGGGACTCACCCTATAACCCCCTCTGGAGAGGGACTCCCACTGTAACCCCTCTGGAGGGACTCACCCTATAACCTCCCAACAGAGAGGTTTTCCTTCTTAAAATTTTCCTTCCAAGACCCATAGAGAGGGACTGCTCTAAGAGACTCCCCACCCTACAGATCTCTCCCAGCAACCCTTCAATTGCTTAAAGGCTTTCAGTGTCTCCTCTCAAGAGACCCAACCCCAAATCCCTTCAAGTGCCCTCAGTAGAGACCCTGACCCCTAGCCCCAGAGCATCAACCCCTAGACCACGGCCAGGGGCCACAGGGATGACAGGTCACCAGGGTTCTGTGAGCCAAGCATGCACCAACATGGTCCCCACAGCCACTGGGTTTGGTTAAAACTCCACTTTCCCAGTGCCACCAAATAGCCCCACAGCCTTTCTCTGCCCCACAACACCTGGGGACAACGGTCTGGGCTGTGGCTGGAGTCTATAGCAGGGCAGAGGAGGGATGATCATCCCATCCTGTTTTGTCCTGTCCTATACCACCACCCCATATTTATTTCTCCTGCAGGGTGGCGGGGCGCAGGAGTATTGGAAAGCCATCCATTTGGCCAAGGGAGGCTGTCACCGCTGCGCTTCGCCCCTCAAACGAAGCCGTCACTCACCGCCATCCTCCAGCATCCCTAATTTATGGCCCCGATATTGGCTCGGCTTCTTCACATAAGCCTGAAAAATGAGCTCTTTTTATTCCTTTACTGAGTTCATTAAACTTTTTTTTTTTTTTTTTTTTTCCTATCTTGTGTTATTCACCCACTTGGGAAGGGGGAGAGAAGTTTATTCTCCTGGGAGAAAAGCAGAGATATTGACTCGATATCTGCCACTGCTCCCTTGCTATACCCACCCAGGGGCTGACAGCATCAGCCCCATCACCTCCAGAGGGTCTGATTCCAGGGGTCCCCACCACCCCAATGAGTCTGTGGGGTCTCAGTGCCCATGGATTTCTGTTCTCTGCCGCTCTGGCCAGCCCTGGTGGCTAACAAAAGTGGCTCACCATTAATCTCAGGGTTGTGTGGGGTGGGTGGCCGGTGGCTGTCCCACTGACAAAAGGACCTGTCTACGTCCCAGCAGAGTGATGGCCCCAGCACTGGTCAGGTTGTTGCACAAAAGCCCAGGGAGGTGATGCAGCCATTGTGATACTGCAATTAGCTCCTTGATTGATTAATGGCCCCATGTTATTAGCAGGGCCCTTGGCTTGGAGATGGGGGAGCCCTGTGGACTGCTAGTGAGTAAATGCAGAAACAGTCTCTCTGTGTCCCAGCTTGCTACTTTTAGGGTGCCATGGAGGTCAGGGCATGGGGATGACGTGCCTCACAGCCTGTACCCCACATCTGATGGGCATGACACCATCACCCCATTGTGCCACTCGGGCTGGGTGTCCCTGCCTTGTTCCACGGAGTCCCCTCAACCTCCCTCCAAGCAGAGCTGCCCCAACCCATTTTCCAGCCTCACTCATTTTCCACCCAGCTGGCTAACGTTGAAACTGCCCTGACAGCAGGGAGGATGAGGTCCCTTTCATTAGGGCTTACCCGGTAGACAACAACCTTCCCATGCCCGCTGCCACCTTGGGGACACAGCGCAGGTGACACAGCCCCCTGCCCATGCACCCCTGAGTACCCCAGTGGCACCTATGCTGGCTCACAGGTGCTGCTTCTCTGCCAATTCCTGGTGACCCCCAGGACACTCTCTCCTGTCCCCCTTCTCTTCGCTGCTTGGGTCTCAAATCCTCCACTCCTCCAACAGGCACATGCACACCCACCCCTGCATGCCTGCACCCACACACTTGCCTGCCCTCCCTGGGGGGATGTCACCCACTCTGAGGAGGTGCAGGGTGGAAGGAACAGGATTGGGACAGCCAGACATGGGGGATGAGGAGCAGCATTGGCAGGGAAGCACTGGATTCCCTTCCTCCTCCTCCTCCTCCTCCTTGCACCACCAGGCACTTGTTTAATTAGCCCCAGCCCCAATAGCAAGGGAGTTAATTAGCTCTGGAGAGAGAGATAATGAAGCTGCAGAGCAGCCCATGAATCTTGTGGCTGATGGATGCTGGGGACGGAGGCAGCACTGATGCTCCCACTTGCTCCCCACAGCTCTGCACCAGGCCTGGGGGGACTGGGGGGCACATGTGGGGCAGTACCTAGCCCTCCTCTGCCCTCAGCCAGGCTCCATTGTGAGCTGTACAGCCATGCCAACTGTCCGCAGCATGGCCCTGAGTTAAACAAGTTTGTGGGGTCTCAGCCCAACCAGAAAGTTGATCACTGCCACTTCACAGGCAGGTGGGTACCCTCACCCCCCTTCCCATGGGCATGGCTTGGGGGTGACTGCCCCTTTCTGCCCAACCTCACCCCACACACAGCCAGACCAAATGCTCCTGCACCCCCCCACCCCCAACCCCAAAGCCTTCCCCCGTTAATTAGCTGGGCATTAACCTCTGCCTGGGGTTTACTGGCTATCGAGCGGCATGTTCATTAATCCACACACCAGCAAAAGGCTCTAATTAATACGGCCGGCCACATGCCCGTGCTTGGCAACTTTTAATTGTCGCAGGCCCAGCCAGGGAGGGCAAAGGTTAAAGCACTTATTGAGTCCCCTGGAGCCCCATTTGCCCCCCCATGCCGATAGCAAAGATTTCCAATGTGGCCGGGCCACTGGTGAGCCCTTAACCCCTGGGTGCCCAGTGCTGCCCAGACCAATGGCCTAGACCACCATCACAGGCATTGCTAAGAAGTGCTGGTAATGGGCATCCCCATTGGGTACTGCTAATGGGGAGCCCTAATGGGCACTGGCCAAAGGCATCTCCACCAGACATCACTAAAAGGCTATGCAAACGGGCCCTGCTAATGGGCATCATGAATGGGTGTTGCTAATGGTTGCCACCAAGGGGCACACTGATGGGCATTACCACCAGGCATTGCCAGTGGGCATCCCTGCTGGGCATCGCTGATGGGCATCAGCAGTTGGCACTGGAGTCTGTGTGGATCTTGGTGTGAACCCGCGCAGGCAGGTGAGGCAGAGGTGCCAGTGGCGCCCACCCCTGCCACCCACCTTTACCTCTCTTCTGCATGAAGCCAAAGAGGTCATCCAGGAATTCCTTGCGTTTCGGGTCCTCATCCAGTTCATAGAGCTGGGGGCAGGAGAGAGAATGGTCAGTGCTGCCAGCACATGGGGGTGTGGGAGGCAGAGGGTGCAATGCCAGGGGCAGGACCCTTTCTTGCCTGTGGCAGGCCCCCCCATCCCCCCTGGCCCTGCCTGTCTACCTTGCCAGCAATGAGAGGCTCTCCCTGTGCCATGGACAAGATCCCTTGGCACACCCTCCATGCTGGCAACACTGGGCCCTGTGCCTGGGACCTGCCAGGGACTCCCCACACACCGACTGCTTTGCACCCCTTTGCACACAGATGCAGGGATTCTGCATTTCTGTTTCAGTTTCCCCTGTCCCTTTTCTTTGTAGGTGGAGGGTCGACAAGTGTTTCAACCCAGGAAGATGATGCAAATACAGATAGACAGACCAGCAGCAAATCTTGGGCTCCTGGGCAGGTCCTTGGGTCCAGGATGCTTAGTGCTGCTCCAGCTAAGCAGCATCCTGGCACTGCCCAGTGCTGGTGTTCACCATGTTCTACTGTGGGATCACCATCCTAATCCAAAGGGACACGCATCCACCCACACAGCTGAGATGCTGGTCCTGTCCCAGGGCATGGCAAGCTCCAGGGCCATGGTGCTGAGTGCCAGTGAGGGTGCTGCACGTGCTGTGGGGGGGCAATTGACAACCTGATAAGCATGACCCAAGCCATGTCAGCACCAGACAGGGCCTGACCAATGGTCAAGGACAGCATGAGGCACCCCTGCAGAGGGATACGCTGCCAGATCCTTCTCCCCCAGCCAGACATGGAGACCTCAAACCCACATCCCCTGGCCTGGCATGGGGATCCCCAATCCATCTTCCTTGGCTGCACATAGGGACCAGGGTGTGAGCACGGCAGTGACACGTCTCTGCAAGGCACAAGGACCTCCTCACACATGCCAAGCCGGGTGTGTGTGCAACGAGTGCAAGTGCACAAGCCCAAAACCACGAGTGCAGCACCACGTGCACCCACACTGCTGCTTGCCTGCCCCAGTCAGTCTGTGGATGCACTGACGTGCGTGCAAACCAGTGAGCATGCACGTGGCTGCACAGATGCACACGTACAGCTGTGAGGACACTTAGGTGTGTTGGATGGTTGCAGGTTTGGATGCATGGACAGAACCCCCTGGACGGCAGCGGGGAGGTCAGTGCAGCCCCCACACCAGGGAGACGAAGCGCTGGCTCCGTGCGAAAGCCTGGGCTTGCCTGATTCCACCACAGCGCTTGGGTGACCATGACAAATTGGAGCCCGCCAGATCGATGGCCCAGCAGTAAAAGTCAGAGCACACGAAGGAAAAATTAGCACCAATCGAAGGCGCTATAGACACCAATTCCTCCCAGCAAGCCCGGCAAGAATTTAAAGCCATTGAAAAGAAACAAAACTCAGCAGTCCAGAATGGATTTCCAAAACATATACAAAGAAATGCAAGCTGGAAAACAAAGTCAGGCACAAAATAGAGTCGTTTAAAAAACAATTGTGCTGGGAAAAGCCGTTAAAAACCAATATAAAGGGCGCGCCCCCCCCCCTCCTCCCCCCTTTCACACAGCACATCATTCACTGGATAGATAAAAGGAGATGTGCTGCGGGGATGTGGGATGGGGGGATGCGGGAATGCGATGGGGTCACATGAATGCAGCGATATGGGGATACAGGGACATGGGAATATAGGGAGGTGAGGATGCAGGGATAGGGGTACACGGGGACACACAGCGATGCAGGGATGTTCCTACAGACCCCCCACAGTTCCCGACACTGGACAGACACATCTAACAGAGTCCCATAGGTACCAGTTGCCTGTTCCTTGTCTAAGAGATGGGTGCTGTCTTTTCCTAACCTGGTCTATGGATATTACTGCCAGTCTCCAACCACACCCCTGGGTGAGGACTGCCTGGCTCTAAGTCTTTCCATGATATTCCACCCCTGCCCCTATCTTGCCCTCTGGGTTCCACCTACCCACCCATTCCTTGCAGCACGGTGATCTCAGGGTGCCTTGACACCTGGGTGTCATCACCCTATTCCTACTCTCCACTGTTGTGTTCCCTGCACCACTCTGTGCCCCCTCCCCATTGCTCTCCCTTTCCCAGGAGCTTCTCAAGCCTTCGATTAAGGTAACTAGGTCAGGCTCGGAGCAGAGCTCCAGGGGACTGCTTTGATTTCTGCCTAGGGAAGGCTGTGCGACTCAGGCTTTGCCTGCATTTCCCTGCCTGTCCCTGCCTGCAGCAGGGCTCCAACTCCTGCTGCTCCACACCAAACCCTTTTTCACTCCCTGTGATCTCCTGGCTTGCCAAAGCAGGAGCAAACTCCCTAAAACCGGCAGCCACTGCCCATCCCACGGGAAGGTGAAGCCACCACCTTCCCAGGGGGTCAACCCAGCAGGTAGGCTCCTGCATCTATACCTCCACCAAGTCACCAAGGAACCACTCTGCCACCAGGACAGGCAGGATCCCAGCTGGCACATGCCACCACTGTCTCCCACCCCTAAAACAGGTGTGACCTCCAAGTGCTAGGATCTATTTTTCCACTATATATTAAACTCTAACCTTTTATCTATATGGCACAAAGATGCAAAAACACATTACATCAATCAAGGAGCAAAGGCTGGCTTTTAAGTGGAGACAAGAGTGAAGCTGAGTAATAGAGGACCAGTCGGCAGGGCCCTCAGGTGTGCCAGGGATGCACTGGACATCCCATGACATTTGGGGATGCTCAGGCTGGAGTGGAGGTGCTCTCGGGGGATTCTTGCTGATGGGGAGTGTGCTCAAGCAGACTATGGGATCCAGGTGCCACAGGTTCACAGGAGTAGCACAGGGGTGGCATGGGGGTGGCACGGGGGTGGCATAGGTAGTGGTCTGTCACAGCCTCTGGGCAGCCTCAGCCCTAAGGAAGGAACAAATTCCATCCCTTACCAAGGGCTCCAGGCTCTGCCACTCACCCTTGTCCTCCTCCTGCAGGCTGGGCACCACAGTACCCTCCCACCTCACCAAGGGACTGACCATGTAAGAGGCAGGTCACAGTCCTCTCAGGTCACACACATCCTTGTTGGGGGGACATACCTCACATGGTTGTACACAACCTCACACAGGCTGACACAACTCCCCAGGGGTGTGCACAAGCCCATGCAAGCATATACAGCCCTACACGGTCATGCACAACTCTGTACGGGCTCTCACAACCCCATGAGTGTGCACAACCCCTCAAAGGCGTGCACAACTCCACACAAGCGTGTGCACAACGTTACATGCAGACACAACCCCCAGGGGCCACACGCAAGGCTGCATGGCCATGTACGACCCTGCACAAGCATGCACAACCTTGCACTGGTGTGCACAACCCTCTGTGAGCACCCAGAATGTCACGTGAGCGTGCACAGCCCCGCACACTTACACACCACCCGCACAGGCACAAATCCCTACGCAGGCACATACAACCGTGGCTGCACGTGCACCTGCAGGAACGTACAGGCCAAGGTGGGCAGGCGCAGCCCCAGGTGAGCACACACAGCCTTTCATGGGTGCACACATCTCTGCAGGAGCATCCACAGCCCCATGAGTGCATGCAGAGCCCTGCATGGGCACACACACCCCAGACGTGCCTGCACAACCCCAGAGGGGCATGCACTACCCCAGAAGGGCATCCAAAATCCCAGCTGGGCGTGTGGAATCCCATATGGACAAGCACAGCCCCAGCCTGGAACACACAACCACAGATGGGCACAATCAGCCTCACATGGGCATGCACAGCCCCAGACATGCACACGCCGCCAGATGGACACCCCCCAGGTGCAGGGGCACACACCACCCCAGAGCATCCCCCCACCATGCACCTCAGCAGAGTCAGGCAGGCCTTGCCCAGGGGCAGTTGTGCAACACGAGCAGCAGCTCCTGCTTGCGGTGACCTATGAGCAAGGACCCTTTTAATCGTGTTTGTATTGATATAATTAGTAACGCATTTAACGCCATCGATGTAACTATATTCCTCTATAAACACAAGTATTAAACTGTCAAGCCCGGGGATCGATATCCCACCAGTGCACAGCATAGCACAGCTCTGCCAACCCTGGGGACCCCATGAACAGTGCTTGGACCCCTAAAAGTTGCAGCACCCCCAGCACAGCTCGCCCCCACCTGGCACCACTGCTCAGGTGTTGGTGCAGGACCATAGCAGGGTGTCCTCATCCCCACTCCACCCTAGGTGCAGCTCCACAACCCTGCTCCTTCCCATGTCCTCCTATTGCCATGGCGATGTCTTTATTCCTTAAGGGATGGGGATAACGGGGCTTGTCAAGCAGGTTAAAGGTCAGCGAGTCGAACATGGTTTATTAAATGGATGTGAATAGACCTTATGTCTCCCTGTCCTCCTCAGCACATTTAAATAACATCGTTAGCACCTCTCACTCACCCAGGAGATGCCTCTCCCAGAGCATCCCTGTAGGGATGGAGCTGGAGTCCTCGGCACCTCCCTGCCCCTCATCAGAGGAGGGATGCAGTAAGGTGCTAAGCCACTGGTCAAACATCTCCAGGCTGCCCTGCCACGGTGAGTCCCCCACGGCACCCCCCAGGGCTCTGCTGCCAAGGGGATTGATTGCAGCTGGACCCCCCCAGCCCCTGCTCAGCTGCCACCTCCTGCTGGCAGAGTGGGCTCTGATCGGCAACCAGGATTTAATCCACTTAATACCAGCTGTATTGATCCCAGACCCTACTCAGCTCCCCCCACCTCATGTCCTCCCCCCAACCCCAAGCCGCTTAATATGCACTGCATTGATTAGCTGCACTGCTAATTTTTCCATCTGGCGGTTGTTCACGAAGCGAGCTCAGGTAATGTTCATGTCCACGCACCCTCAAAGCCCCCCAGGGTGCAGCCACATGGGCACAGGACACATGGGTGGTTGACTGCTGATGGGCTATTCTGGAACCCTTGCACCTCTCCAGAGCATCACTCTCTGAGCT